GGGGCGGGGCGCGCTTCCCCCTCCACCGGGCGGCCGCGCCGGGCTGGGCAGCCCCACAGCACAGGGGACCGGGCCCGGCAGCGGGCGTCGCGGGCAGGGCAGCGGGGATGGCTCAGTGCGGGACGGGTTGTGCGAGCAACAGCGCGGCGGTCGCGAGCGAGCAGGCGACAGAGCAGACAGCGCAGACAGCGCCGCGGACGCGAGTGTCGGACGAGCCGACGGCCACCACCCCCGGCAGCGCGACGCGGAGGGTCAGCTTTGCGCCGAGCACAAAGTTCAACGGGAGTGACAGTGACAGTGACAGCCCGGCGACCCCGCAGCGCCGCGCAAAACACAGGTCCGCCGGCGGCAACCACCCCGACGGGCAGACGCGCGCCCGCGTCGTCCGCGACCTCTCTCCCCGGCCGGGCCCCGTCAGCTGGGCCACCTGGCGCAGACCCTCGCCGGCGAGGACCCGGCACGGCATCAGGATACCGTCGGCGCACAGGATGACCCTGGGCGAGGGGGCGGGCGTCGCCTTGGTCGCGGGCCCCGCGGAAGCCACCGAGGCCACGGCACCCGTCGGCACGGCCTCAGCCGGAGGCTCCGCGACCTCGGCCTCGGACCAGGACCAGGAGCGGCGGCGCGCGCTGGGCGGCAAGACGAGCTCGCCCGTGAACAAGCCGCAGCCGCCCGCCGCCGCCATCGCCGCCCTGCAGCAGCGCGTCCAGGAGGCCGAGGCCCTGTGGGTCCGCGCCGAGAAGCCCGAGACCGTCGGCTTCTACTACGAGACGGCCGGCCTGGCTGACGTAAGTATACCTTTGTGTTGGGCCAGCCCGCGCGGCCCGCAGCGGCGGAGCCAGGCAGAGCCCGGGTATAACACCAGCTGGTGCTGGTGGGCGTCCTGCTGTGCTCTCTCTCTCTCTCTCTCTCTCTCTCTCTCTCTCTTCCCCTCTCTCTCTCTCACTTCCCCTCTCTCTCTTTCCCTCTCTCTCGGTAGGGCCGAGCGAGCCGCGACACCACACCACCGCCACGGTCCGAGCTTGTGGATCAGCTGCCAGGAAGTGTTTTCCATTGCTCACAAACAACGAGCTCGGTGGCGCGGCGCGGCGCGGCTCGGCGAGCGCGTCCCAGCCGGGCCGACGCGGCGCAACCGCTACTGTACAGAGTGTACACAGGCCGGGCCGGGCGTGCGGCCTCGCGCCGGGCACAAGTCTCTGGCCTGGCGTGGCCGGCCGGGCCTCGGACCCCCATCGCCCACGGCATAAAGTAGTGTGCTCGTCTCGACTCCTTCGGGGAGAAAAGAGGGAAGAGGAGGAGGAGCAGGGGACAAGGGACAAGCCTGGCTGAGCACCGAAACAGCACTATGGCTTTCTCTTTGACCCCCCCCC